CCTTTCTATTAAAGTTGCGTGAATAGGAATAACAAGGATTTCAAAGGCTGGATTGGATCAGCGACTCTGTTAGCCCCGTGCTCTTTGTGTACAAAATGTGATGAACCCAGACTGCTTCAACTTTGAAGTGGGGGAGAGGAGGCGTGGGAGGGACAAAATTATTACACGGATGGAGAGCTGCACCGTCAGTATGAAGAGCTGCACATGCATTGACTAGAATTTGTGCTAGTGCGCAAAATTTAAAAAAAAAAATAGACTGGGCAAAATGCATGTTTTAAACGGCTGCAAATCGCGATCTATTATGACAATGGTCAGCACCATTCACTAGTTAATGGAACAAATGCGATATTGGTCAGCCTTGAAAAAGCTGTTAAGACGTAGACCTCCCCTCCATTTTGGCGATGGCTTGATCATTTTGGACATCTACCAGATCACCAAGACCCTTTCGCCCAATGCATATGGGGATCCATTGTTCGTGATGTTACAGGGAAGCACCCAAGCAGGGAAAAAAACTCCGAAAAATTAGTTCAGATCGATCGTGGTTAATAATCACACGGTGTATGTATATCGTACGAGATCCAATGTGCCGCGCCCAGAGTCATATGGTATTGATATTCTTAATTCGCTTTCAGTCGAACCTTCAAAGAGACAACAGTTTTTCCAAGTATTTTTCTTCATTTTTCCGCTTCCGTTGCTTCTCTGAAAAATTTCTTCATAAACTCAATACCATATGCTGGCTCTTACTCTCTCATAAACTTAATAGGTTACATATATGACAGCAGACTGATCCAGACGCCAGTGAACATGAAGACAGAAATAATACGGAACTCCTCAACCACATTCTTGGCACACTTCGAGTTAAAGTTGTATTCAAAAAAAAACAGGCCATGATCTTCTGAAGTTAATTTTGTTACGATGAAAAATAATGTGTTTTAGAAATGAATGACATGAAAAAATGTAATGCTATTTGGGCTGAAGGCCAGATATCATTAGATTTTAAATTATCAATTTTTAACGGTATCTGAGCGGAAGACTAGCCAAATGGAAATAAGTAGAATCAGAACGGGCCTGGAAATCCAATCTCACTGCTGCTAGTGCTCGCACATATTAAGTGCGCCTGGTTGATTCCTGATTAGCGTGTCTAGTAGCAAACGCCTGTCGATGTGTGCAGCCTCACTGAAAGCTGGTTCGAGCAGTCTTTTCTTTCTTGCAGATAGCACTCACTAATGCTAAATCTCACAAAAAGTTGACACTCAAAATTAAGTAGCTTTTACGCATGTGAATGATTGTTTGACTTACACACGCGCCGTGGTCCACTGATCTATCAAAGTGCTGTAGAAGGAATCGTGCAGGAAAACGAAATTCCAACTCTTCCATTTGTTCTTCTATTGTTAAACTTTATACGCCT